TATGAGTCAGATCCAACTCACCGGCAGATCCAACTCACAGTGAGTTTGGTTTTTATGGTTTGGAGTGTGGGAAAGGAACTCTGGTGGCACTGTGGTTCAGGCATTGGGCTGCTAACCAAAGGGTTGGGTGTTTGAACCCACCAGCTGCTCCGCCAGAGGAAGATGAGGCAATCTACACTGGTAAACATTTATTGCCTTGGAAACCTGGTAGAGGTCGCTATGAGTCAAATTGACCAATGGCAGTGCATTTCATTTTTGGTATTAGCTCTACAGAGCCATTTTGAATTGTAATGGAGACTCCTTTAAATCATTAAACAAAAAGCTAGTTTCTATTCAGCCAAGTTTCTGTGTATTCCACATAAATGAGGTATTAATTTATTTCCATTTTAAAATTTTGTTCTTTTTTAGGAAAATAGTGTATTTACAATAACCACTTTGACCTGCCAGGAGCCCTTCTATATACCAGACAGGTGGACTTTTAAAGGTAAATGTGGATGCCTTTTTTATACTATGATAAATATAGTCATAAATCAGATAATTTAATTGTATGCAGTTTTTAAATTGAGATTTTGCTTAATTTCTTCTTTGTGGTTTCAGAGAAAACAGTGAATTTGGTCAAAATATTTTTGGAAAATTAAATACCAATGACTTCCACCACCCACAACCCCAGGGATAGTAATATCCAGCAGGGGGTGCAAAAGTCTAGAAAAAAAATTTCTTGCTTTCACTGGCAGAATTTTAAAAAATAGTAAAGGTGATTAAGAAAATTCCAATAGATGTTCTAAATAACATAAGGCCAGGAAAATGTGATGAAATTTTTAAATGCATCATTTTCAACATAGCTTAATGCATATAAACGTTTTCTTTATACTATTTTAAGATTAAATAGCTCTCTGGTTATATCCATTTGTAGCTAGAACTTAAAACCTATGAATATAAACCAATGTACATGTCAAAATCACTGTTCTTTTTGCACTGTCTTTTAGAATCACAGTTATCATGTTAGCAATAGAATATATGTAATGGTTTATTTTTAATCAGAATTATACTTGTGAGTGATGGTTTGTGTTGAACACATACTTTTGTTACATTTCTGGAAATTTTTATTAACATGAGATGGAATCAATCACTTTCTTATTTCATAGTTCCTACCAGCAAAATACATCAGTCTTTAAGTATTTCATAGTTTATATAATTAGATACAATATCTATGGTTTGTCTTTAAGGACACTGATTAATGTTTCCTAGGGAAACAAAGGGTTATAGGATTTTATGTTTTAATGTAATGTATATTTACATTGTTGTTTTCTTAAAAAAATTCAGTGAAATAATTTATATTTTGGATTTGGGACCTCCTTCATCTCTCCTATTTTTAAGAGACTTGCTGCTCTTTTATTTTGAAATTCAGCTAAGTGTGCACTGCATTCAAAGTAACCAGCTTTTTAGGCTTTAGGACTTTGGACCTTTTAGCCTCACTGATGCCACATATTAAGTAATATATTCCAGTATCTCAAGAAATTGAAATATTTAATAATTTTTAGACATTATAAGTAAAAAAAAAAAAAAAATTTATTTAGCTGTATGAGCTATGTTGATATTCAATCATGTTGTTACGTGCCATCGAGTCGGCCCTGACTCTAGCGACCCCTCCTTAGGTTTCCAAGAAAGTATCATTACGGAAGTAGATTGTCCCATCTTCCTTCTGAGGAATGGTTGGTGGGTTTGAACAACCAGCCTTCTGGTTAGCAGTAAAGTGCCTTAGGCACTATGCTACCAGAGCTCCTATTCAATCATGTATACATACATATATGTGTATATATGCACACACTTTATGTGTGTGTAGTTGTGAAGCAGTGATTTTCATGGAAGATTCTGCTCTCTAAAATCACATTTAGAAGAACAATTTTATTAATCTCTCATGCTTTGTAAGACAAAACCCTGTATTTTAGAATACAGTAATGTTGTAATTTTTGCCAAATATTTTCTACAGTGCTTAAAAACAGAACTATTACATGTATTATATTTGGAATTTTTTTTTTTAGCAGAATAATCATCAAAAAACATTTGATTTTTAAAAGTAATAGTTGCTGGTTATACAACATAGTTATAATATGTCAGCTTTTAAAGAAAACCTGAAGAGATATTTCCCCCTAGATATTTGTTAAATATTGTATGTCTAAGAAAGCTGAAACAGTTCTTTCATAAAGATGTGCAGCCTTAGAAAACTAATGGAGGTTGCTATGAGTTAGAATCCACTCAATGGCAGTGAGTTTGATTTGGGTTGGAATGAATTTAGAAGTTACCTATTTTACTATGTTCATTAATTCGGGTTTAATTTGAGCTTAATAAATACCTCTATAAAGTTGGTACTGCTTGCATTTTAAGTTCTTTTATTCACACCTGTTTCATGGACATAATTGCCAGTATTCTGACCTCTGTGGCAAAACTGTCTTTTACATCCCTGCCAATAGGATCATTCTGTAGGTTATACTTAGAATGGAAGTTCCAGCTTTGCTATTTCCTGGCTTGGGAATGAGGGTTACAGATACCTGTACTCACTGATGTGGTAGTTACAGGCAGGTGGGGAAAGTGCCTGCTGGTGGAAATTCTTTTCTTTTTGCTAAGAAACAGAAATGGCTGATCCAGAATAGGGGCAGAGATATCCCCAACCACATCTAGTGTTTCATGTTCTCATTCAGAAGTTTGCTTGGGTTACTCTGAGGAGTCCCTGGGTGGTGCAAATAATTAATGCACTTGGCTGCTAATCAAAGTGTTGGAGGTTCAAGTGTACCCACAGCTGCCTTAGAACAAAAGCCTGATGATCTAGCTCTCAACAATCACCCAATGAAAACACTATAAAACATAATTCTACTCTGATACACATGGGGGTCACCATGAGTTGGGATTGACTCAACAGCAACTCTTTTTTTGTTGTTTTACTAGTTTGTTATACCAGTGACATGAACCAGACTGTCCAGATTCAGCCAGTGGCTGATGGACGCTCAAGAGCAGTATTTTTCAGCTTAGAAAAATGTTGCCTTTTGATTGGCATAAAAATGGCTTGCCTTCCTTTTAATGTAATTCAGACTATCAAATAATTTTAGATATTGTGACTCAAAATATGCCAAGTCAATGGTAGCTACAAAATGTTTGTTCAAGCTATGTATCTTTCTGCCACCTGCTTCATTTCCTTCCAGAAGTAAATCACTGTTTTAGGATGATTGTCTCACTTTTCTGTGCCTTATCATCTGCCCATGACCCTGGCTCTTAGGTTGCAGGTGGTTATCTGGGTATTTTTTCAAAGTCCAGACCCTGGGTGGTACAAATGGTTAATGTACTTGCTGCTAACCAAAAGATTATCAGTTCAAGCTCACCCAGAGGGCCCTTGGAAGAAAGGCCTGATGGTCTACTTCCAAAAACTGGGCCACTGAAAACACTATAAAACCAAACTCGCTGCTGTAGAGTCAGTCCTGGCTCATAGTGATCCTCCTTGGGTTTTCCAGGTGGGGAAGATTGCCCAGGTAGATTGCCCAGTCTTCCTTATCAGGAGTGGCTGGTGGGTTTGAACTGCCAGACTTCTGGTTAGTAGTCAAAGGCTTGAGGCATTGTGCCACTGGAGCTCGAGCACAGTTATTCTGATGCAAATAGGGTTACTATGAAATCAACTTTATGGCAACTGATGATGGTGGTTTCACAGTCTCTACTGAGAGCCTGGTTTGTGGGAATGCCGGTTCCCAAAAAGGGGCATAGCCACTGTAACTGTAAATGCCACCCACGAATTTATTGCTCTACTTTTTATTAACTTTGTAAAATTAAAAGTCTGAAAAGAATAGTTGAGATAGAAAATTGCTGGTTTCAAATAAATTCAGCGAAAAAGAAATCTATCAATGTTATTTTATTGCACTGTAATAAGGAGTAGATAAAACATTTTATGTTTTAATAAGTGAGGCACAGCTTACAATTTTAAACTGCGATAAAAAAATACAGTACAGAGCATAAATAAATAATGTCTTTTCATTTCTAGTCAGATTTTGAAACACTTCACATTAGTTAAAATTTCACTGGAATGGGAGATGCAATATCCATATGCTTTCTGTAAACCCACAAAATCATATTAAATAAGATTCAATAAGTAATTAAAGAAATCAAATTAATTCAACTTGAAGTAATAGGAAAACTAATAACATCTTTTTTTTTTTTTTTTTTGGTTTTTCTACAATGTTTAAATCTGTAACAAGCACTTTAAATTATAGATTAGACGACTGTTTCCAAGTTGTGAAGGGCGTATAGAAAGCTTCTTTGCAATCTCAGAAAAGGTTCACAAGTACAGCACCTTGCATTTCAGATTAATTTTAACACAATTATTTTGCTTTTTCACTCATGTTTTAAAAAGTCCATATGTGCCTGTATATTAGGGGAAAAAATTGATAAAAGGGGTCATGTAAGCCTTAGGTGAATGCACCATGAGAAGTATCTTAGGGTAAACAAAACCAAAACAAACTCACTGCCATTGAGTTGATTCCGACTCTTGGTGACCCTCCTTGGGTTTCCAAGGCGGTAAATATTTACAGAAGTAGATTGCCTCATCTTCCTTCCGCAAGCGGCTAGCAGATTTGAACCACCAACCTTGTAGTTAGCTCAAATGCCTTAGGCATTGCACCACCAGAGCTCCTTAGGATATACAGTGTCTTTTAAACTTGAATATTCAAGTATTTAAGCTTTGTAAAGTCATATGATACTTCCTAGATGTTTCCCAGAAGTTCTCATATTAATTGTTATAAATGGGCTTATTTTAAAAAGAAATGCTGAGTTTCTAAAATTGACTTAACATAATTTAAGGTTATATTTCTATTTTTTTGTGTGTGGTAGTTTTTTTTTTTTAACATAGTAAGATATTTATGGTGAAATTCTTAAATATTGAAGGACTTCACAAAAATCTTTAATAGATCTTAGGACTGCTGACTAGAAATTCAAGAGGGTCTTCACATGTTGTTAGTCAGTGCTGCTCACTTTTTTCAGGGGACACATTTGTTGGTCTGTTAGCTCAAATAGTATTTTGGAAACTAAACAAAATTATATTTTTTTCAGCCTACTTGTGTGTGCATTTTGTGGGTTAGGGTGGGATTGGGGAATGCCTTTTCAAGCAGAAGATTTAGATCAGCTCAGTAAGGAGTAGGCTCACACTGGAGCCACCAGGAATCCTGAGAAAGAGGAGTGGACGTACTCAGAGGAGTACAGGCCGTTGGACTCGGCATTGGGCAGCTGGAGCCATACCTGGTCATTTTCAGTGAGGTCAAGTACTGCACTCCCTGAAGCCTGATCCAGGTAGCCTTTGGTATATTCATCATAGGTGTACATTACAGGGGTACCATTCTTATATAGGCCTACCCAAACATGAGTCCCTTTCACATGCACATGGTAGGAGAAATAGTATATCCCTGGTATCCTACAGGTAAAGATTCCAGTTCTTGGGTCATAATGCTGTTGCCTGTTAGACAAAATCTTATCAAATGGGATGGGGGTCCCTATTGCTGGGTAAGCTTTGGAGAGAATGACAGTAAAAGCAGACACAGGCATTCCTGTCACACCCTGATTGGCACTAACAAGAGGCATTCCAGAAAGACTGGGACTTTGGCCTGCCTTTATGAAGCCCTCAGGCATGACTGCTTGGCCTGGGGGACCTGGGGGTCCTGGTGGCCCTGGGAGGCCAGGCTCTCCAATATGGCCTCTTGGGCCTGGAGGTCCTGGTGGCCCAGTTGGTCCATTAAGGCCCTTGATTGCTATGCCAACTGGGCCAGGAGGACCTGGATTTCCTGGATCCCCTTTAGACCCAGGAAATCCTGGAATGCCTGGTGGCCCAATGGGGCCTCTAGTGCCTGGTATTCCAGGGGCACCTCTTGGACCAGGCTCACCATTATGTCCAGGCACTCCTTTAGCTCCTGCTGGACCTCCAGAACCTGGGAGACCAGGAGGCCCTCTAACTCCAGGGTCACCTTTGGGGCCTGGTAAACCTGGGTTACCCTTAGGACCATTGAGACCTGGTTCTCCTGCATACCCTGGTTTTCCATCTAAACCAGGGGAACCCCTTTCTCCCTTAGCCCCAGGGTGTCCAGAAGGTCCTGCTGGTCCTGTCTCACCTTTAGAACCTGGGATACCATGATTGCCAGGGATGCCTTTTGGTCCTTGGGGCCCCGTATTTCCCGGGGGTCCAGTCAGACCTTGCTCCCCAGGATGACCTGCTGGGCCCTGTTCCCCTTTGGCACCTGGACCCCCTGGAAGGCCGGCAGGTCCTCTTTGCCCTTTCAGGCCTGGCAAGCCTGGTTTCCCAAAGGCGGGAGTCCCCGGGGGCCCAGCTATTCCTGGAGCTCCAGGGTGACCTTTTGCTCCTGGAATTCCTGGCTGACCTGGGGCACCAGTGGGTCCTGGCTTGCCTATGCCTTCTGGTCCTCGTTCCCCAGGAGGACCTTGTGGACCTGGTGGACCAGCAGGTCCTCTTTCCCCTGGAAAGCCCCGATCACCTTTGATGCCTGGTTGCCCTGGAAACCCATTTTCACCTCTTTTTCCTACTCCAGGAGGGCCAGGTGGTCCCATGGGCCCCTGAGCACCTGGAAGGCCCTTCTCACCTGGGCGGCCAGGAGCACCATATCCTGTTTCCCCCTTCTGTCCATTCACTCCAGGAACTCCGGGTACACCCTTTTCTCCAGGAAAGCCTCTGGGTCCCGGAGCTCCTGCAGGTCCCTGAAGTCCAGGTTTTCCTGACACAGAAATTCCGGCTGGGCCAGGGATTCCAGGTGGCCCTGGTGGACCCCGGGGTCCTGGTAAACCAGCTGGTCCAATATCTCCTTTTGGTCCATATGGTCCTTTTTCTCCTGGTTTTCCTGGGAGTCCTGGTATACCTGGCTTCCCAGTGACTGATGGTCCCGGTGGTCCTGGCAACCCTGGTTCCCCTTGGGGTCCAGGACTTCCATAGCCTGGTTTTCCTGGTGGTCCAGAAGGACCTGGGAGCCCTCGAGGTCCAGTAGGGCCTGCTGGTCCAGAAATACCTTGCTCTCCTCTTACTGGTATGCCTAAAAGATGCACCCAAAACACACACTCAGAAAAGGAGATGTCAGTAATATGGTTAAGGATAATCATTGCTTCTCTAAATATGAATCAGGATAAGGTATTTCTGTAATATTAGTTCATGCACATTTTTAGGCTGACCAATCTTAAATGATTTGAGATAAACACATATTATTATTATTATTATTATGAAAACCTTGCTAGAGAAGATGGTTTCCCAAGACCCTTACTACCATATAATACTTTAATTACACCTAATGATCTATACAAATATGCTGGGATTGAAGAATTCTCTATATTAAGAGTACAGTGAAAGTAGATTTGTCACATTTGTTTTAGGAAAATCATATATCTAGAAAGGAAAGAAGAAAAGATATTTCGCAGAAAAAGAATGAAAAGACAAGTGTAGGATAAATGGGAAAGTCTTGGATAACTATAACAATTTTCCCTCATAAAAGCTATCCATAAATCAAAATGAGAAATAGAGTTAATTCTAATTTACATCTACCAAAGCTGTGCAGAACATAGTCTGGATTTAAGTTGATTTTTTCCCCAAGCTCATTACATCCTGTGAGCCTCAGCTAAACTCTGCGTTTGTTATTGTTGTTCTTAGCTGCCATCAGGTCAGCCTCAGCTCATGGAGAGCCGACGGTCGGTCGATGGTGTCTGCCAGTGTGTCCCACAGGGTTTTCATTGGTTGAGTTTTGCAAGTAGATCCCCAGGTTTTTCTTCCTCATCCCCCTTACTCTGGAAGCGCCACTGAAACCTGCTCAGTGTCACAGCAACAGCAGTGGGCAGGAGCTGCACATAAGGTGCCTTGGCTGGGAAATGAACGTGGCCTGCCACATGGTTGGCGAGAATTACTCAACCACTGAACCACCAGTGCCCCTGTACTCTTGACTGATGACTTACAGTTTTGAAACAAAGAATTAGGAAATTAGAAATAGTATTAAAGTGACAAGTGCTATCGGGTCACAAGTGTGAGTGATGCACAGAACTGCTGCTGTAGGAGCTTCAGCCAGAAGGCATGATCAGTGCCTTGGTAGGGTTTCAAGCGCTGTTTTGGTCTTTCAAAGGTGGACTGCCACAGGGTATTACAGGCATTAAGACATACCGTTAGGGAAATGTTACCATTTCAAGCAATCGTTTGGCAAAAATCATCATCATCATCTACATAAAATATTCTGTAGTTTGCAGAATAATTCTTAAAGTGCTAGCAAAGATGGTAGCAAAATCACATGATTTTTAATATCTACTTGCAGAATTTATATTAAAATCATTTTCAGTTTAATAAGTTTTCAGAAACATAGTTAGAACTTATACTAAAATAATTATACTAAAATAATTGCATTTAATTTTTAAAAGTCAGAAAATTCCTTGTAGTAATGATAGATTTAGTAAATGTCACTGTAGTTAAATAGTTTGGTCAAAACCTGAAAATGGCTCATAAATATGACTTTTGAGCCACATTTTAAAAATATGATTAACGTATTATTCTCTGCTAAACCAAATCTTCAATGGTTTCAAAAAGCAAAATGAAGCTAAAAGTGAATTTCATGTTAAATGAATTGAAAATGGCCTTTCAAAACATATTTTTATAAGTATAGTTCCCTTTAACTATTAGTGGTTGGTACACTAGTGTATTTAAAAAAGCAAACAAACAAACAAACCTTTACTATTGATTGACTACCATTTAAGAAGTTGTCAGTCAACAGTAGTTGCTAATATTATTCTCTTGGGTAGGGGTATTCCTGAGATTTGAAAAACATTTGGTGAGAAATGAAATGTAAAATGCAGAGCAGAATCATTAAAGTAGATCTGCTAAAATAATCAGTTTAGACTTACCTATCTTTCTATTTCATACTAATTAGAATTATATTTAAATGTATGGTATTTATTTACCTATAGATTTCAAAAAATTACATCAGGAAACAGACTATGAGAAAAAAAAGTATAGAAATGATACCAGTACATGAGCACATGTCTTGTTGATTGACTTTAGTGCACATGGATGATATATCTATTTATACATAAATTGGATGTTGATACCTATAAATAGAGTAGATGAATAAATAAAGGATTTTTTCATGGTTTGGAATAAAATAGCACATTTTTAAAAATGCATACTATGTTAGGTGGGTGTTTCCATCAGAGTCTTATTATGAATATCTTATTCATACTAAAAATAATTATCTTCATCTGATTGGAAATCTCTTTAACTGCTAAAATAGAGAGGAAAAACAACTCTTATTGAACACAACTCAGTTGTGCACCAGTCGAGGCCAAGAACCTCAATGACAGGGTGATCTCTATTCCTAGTAATGTTGCTATGTGTCTTCAGCCCCTCAGTGCAAGAATGTGATTTCTATTGAATCCTTGGGGTTCAGCTCCTGTTCATAGTTTACATCTGAAGTGCTTCATTCTTTCAAGATTAGGGTGACACTATTTTCAAGGAAAGACAAATACCCAGTAGAGAAGATTCCTGAATGCCCACAAACTGAAAGAGTGGCCGATTGTGTCACATTGTGGTACCTGCGTCTGCCCATCAGTGTGGAATCTTGTGCAGCATAATTTAGCGTGTTCTGGCTGAACTCTCTATTAGCCTGTGTTGAATAGATATCCCTGTGAATGATTTAGGAACCTCTTTGTATTTCTGTCATCAGCTTAATGTTTTGTTTGTATAAACTGGCCTTTTGTCTTTGTTATAACACGTTAATACCTGCCTTTGAGTGATAATGTATTTGAGTTTCCACTTTGCATTATCAAGTAGAGACCAAGGTGAATTTAATGGTTAAAATAAAGCTTCTAAACTTTAGCATTTGTTAACAAGGTATACATTTTTCATTATCCTGGAAAATGGCCAAGATGTAGCAACACACTGAAGAAGAGAGAAAGAAATATTTGTAAGCTTCCAAAGTGGGGCATTTTATTTTTAATCCAAGAGTATTTATTGTGATTTTGGAAAGCTATAAAAAGTCTAAATTTGTAATCACAGATAGTATTGAAGGAGCCCTGATGGCACAGCGATTAAACTAATCAGCAGCTAACTGAAAGTTTAGCGGTTCAAACCACCAGCCACTTCACTATGGAGTCCGCTTTGGTAAAGATTGTTGTTGTTGCTGTTGTTATGTGCCGTCGAGTCGGACCCGACTCCTATGGGGCAGTTCTACTCTGACCTGTAGGGCTGCTATGAGATGGAATCAACTCGACAACAATGGATTTGGTCCTTGGTTTTGAGAATATTGAATCCAACTTTGTAAATTGAATATTTTAAATTGCTTTTGTTCCTTTAAGTACCTAGTTTCCTTCTTTTATACTTGTTTTCCCTAACTTCTGCTTTATTTTTTAAATATTCTGAGACAAGTAAGAGTATGTGTTGTACTGTGAATTTATTTTTAAATATCAAGCTAACTCTTGTGAAATATTTAAAACTCTTCTTCTTAGAAAGACAGCCCCCTAAGTTCATTTTGTTCATAATGGTTGTTCCCCACCATTTGTTTCTGGCAAATATCCTTAGCTTTATTTAGAGGACAAAATATATAATGATAATGAAAAAACATTATAGAGAGGATATTTGAAATCCTACAACAAGTTTAGATTATTCAGTTCAATTGAGTAGATGTTTTATAGGCAGTTTGTATCAGATGCTATGAAAGGAAATTAGGGAATATGAAACCTAATGGTCACTCTTTTTTGAGGATCTATTAGAATTTTACATACATTATCTCAGTACTCTTCATAGTAACTGACAAACCTGGACAGATGAGGGGTAGATTTAAGAAGACAATAAAAACTTATCTAAGGCTACTCACCAGAAGTAGAAATAAAAGTAATAGAAGTAATAGTAACAAGAGTAGTAGTAATTACTAACATATAAGGATTTTATAGATTTTAACTCATTTAAGCCTCATAACAGCCATTGAAATAGCTGCTCCTTGCTTTACCAATGAGGAAGCTAAAGGCACAGAAAGGAGGCATTAACTGCCCAAGCTCATACAACTAGTACTGACAGTTAAGTCCGTGCACTTAACCAGTAAACTGTACAAAAATGTATCAGTAATTATCAGACTGGCTACTTCATTTGTCCCTTAAATTTACTTGGTAGGGGTAGTAGGTTTTATGTGATAAGACAGAGTTTGTGTAAATTTGTGGGCTAGTTGAATAGGTTTCGAAAGTAAATGTGTTTAAGTGTTTGGCTATATAAACTTGATACTCTACATGTACAGTTGGCAGTTATTTTTAGTTAAAACATTTTAAACTTGATTCCTTTTGTTTGGATTAATATTTCTAGATTATGGTAGTTATTTGTGCAAATGCATCATTTGAATGGGAAAGTGTCCACACATAAAATTCTTCATGTTCTTAGGTCTATCTTTCTAGTAAAATTTGGTGTGCAAGAGATACTGATGCTCTTGAAAAGACCTACTCTTTCCACAAATCATTTTGTTATAATCATTTAGGCTAATTCAGGAGTATTAAAAATAATTAAACATCAAACAAAGTTAAAAGCATTTTGTTAAAGAGATCATTGAGACTATAGAAAGCAACAGCCAACTAGTTAATAGACATAGAGCAAAACAGAGAATCCGGTTTACCTTTACTCTTTATGGCATAGGGAATGAAGAACGGTGTCTTTGTGTTGGGTAGTGGGCCTTTTATGCCTGTGGGTGTTTGGTATCGCTCAGCATAAAACACTCCATGAACCAAATTCAAGGTCATGAATAGCAAAAAGGCTATGTGTGGCAGCATATTCTCAGATGGATTCTGAAACACAGAAAGGAATAATTTTCATACAGTTTTGATATTGACCTGCTTCCTTTTTCTACTGTTGCCCAGACAAATTCCTTGTACAGTTGTCTATTGTTTTTTACCTTAGCCTATGTATTTTGAATATATTCCATAAATTAATGAGAGCTGTAATTTTTAAATTATGTGAATATATGTCTCCATTGTTTTTAGAAACTAGTAACCAAGTGAAAATGAAGTGCTTTATAAAAAAGCAGCATACAACCATCATTGAATGTCTGTATTAGATAGTTTAGGATCTCTTACGTAGACTGAAATATCCAGTAGTTACACTGAAGTTCAGATCAGGGCATGTTTTAACAAATCATGCTTATAATTAGAACTATTTTATATAAACTGATACAAATTAAGCCCTCTGAGTGCATTTTTTATGGGAAGCCATTTTCACAAAAAGAGAATAGCTAATTTGTTGAAGTTGTCTCCAAGCAAGATAACAGATGACCAGTGAGCATCAAGCCATAGACTTACCTGGTTGGTCAGAATTCCTGATGATGGTCTCTTGGCAGCTCTCTGAAGTCTCCTCTGCCCAGGTGAGCAGTGCAGAAGATGCCTTCCCCACAACTGCCTGTAGTATTTATACTGTGTTTCCCTCACTACATGAGGTTACTCTGAGTTTAAGCTCCTCCCCTCAGAGGTGGTAAGCACTAATTATGGTGGAAAGTTCTATTGGGCAGGCATACAGAATCAGCCTGGGCTCTCCTTTTCCTTGTTTTCTTATTGAAAAAGAAACTCTTTGTTTAAAATATATATTAATAGTTTTAACCTTGTACCATCTTTTTCTGTCATTTTATTTTAGAAGTTATTACTCAAATGTTTAGGTTGATTCATGATGGGACAGTAATACTCCTTTTTAGTTTTGAAAAACACATTCTTGTGTAATTAGGTTGAAAATATTTGGTAATGTATATAGATGTAGACAAAGTATTTATTCACATGTTAGCTATTTAATTCATCATCTAAATTCATCAATTATAGTGCTATCAGTGTGTTCATTAATATTCCTAAATTTTATTAAAATAGCTAACCATTTTTACTTATTTTTAGGCTTAAAAGAAAGAAACAAAATGGGTGAACACTTCAGAGTTTTATTTCTGAATTTTACAGTAAGCCCTCAGAAGTTAATAAAATGAAATTTATTTAAGATTGCCTATTAAATATTTCAAATTTTTGCATTCTAAGTGTTTTGAATTTTCTGACAGAGGCAAGATCTCTACGAATTTATAACAGAGACAGAAATGTTATTACCTTGAAGGATTTAGATTCTTTATTCACAATACTACATCATATTCAGTGAATGGCTTCATATTTTGATGATTAATTTGATGTTTTGCTTCAGAATTGCAGTAAAATCTTCAAAACCCCAAAACTTGATAATGTCATAGTATGTTTACTTAAATAAAGTTGCTTTGTTCATTTCAGAAGAAAAAATTTCTTCAAATTTTACTTGCAGCTTTTTAAAATTATCATTAGCTTACCTTGCAATTTCCTGTAGAGATCTTGAATCATCCATCCCAGTTGTAAACATTTTAAATTTCCCCAAAGATTAAACTAAACATCACTGTCCTTTTCAGTAATTGGTAGTCTCTTTAACAATGTTAGAGACTCTTAAAATAGGTTTCACGATCCTAAAGGATCTAATAAAGGCAGGAAGTTCAGAGCCCAACTTTTAGACCTTATTAAAATTTCATTACTTTGGATCTAAGTCAGGTGAAGGAGGTGGGCAGATGAATTCCATACACAGGCACATACGCATCATTTTTGTGCCTCTGTAGAATTAAAGTAATACTCATTTCATGATTGATCAGCAACTAAAATAATTGAGTGACTTGTTAATTGAAATGGAAGCAGGTTATTTTTTCCCTTTCTTCTCCTCTGTAGAATACTTTTGTGTGTATTTAAAATAAAGCCTCAAACACCAAAATAGAAATGTAACTGACACAAATTAATAAATGCAACTTACAGCAATATGAATAGATAACGCTTCTTGTTGCCTCCATAAGAGTAGTGCTGTTTAGTGGTTGCCACATTTTAAAAACTACATTTTATATATCTATCCTGGCGGTTCAAACCCACCAGCCACTCCTCGGAAGGAAGGTTGGGCAATCCCACTTCCGTAGTGATACTGCCTCAGAAACCCAAGGAGGGGTCCCTATGAGTCGGGTGTGACTCGACGGCACATAACAACAGCAACAACATCCATATAATACTCAGAGTATGGCTTTTATATACAGATTAACAAGAAAATTGGAAAGTTTATATTCTAATCATTCTTTCATCATTGAGTTATTGTTGTTGTTATGGAAGCAGATTGCCAGGGCTTTCTCCCATGGAGCCACTGGGTGGGTTTGAATCCCAGACCTTTTGGTTGGTAGAGGAGCATTTAACCACTTGTTCCCCCTGAGCTCCTTATATATTGAATAAACCAAATCTGCTGCCATTGACTCTATTTTGACTCATAGTGACCCGATAGCACACGGTGGAACTGCCCTGTAGGGTTTCCAAAGCTATAGATCTTTACAGAAGCAGACTGCCTCATCTTTCTCCTGCAGAGTGGTTGGTGGGTTCAAACTGCTGACATTTTGGTTAGCAGCCGACTAGCTTAACCACTGCTCCACCAGAGCTTCTATACATTGAATAGCTGTTGTAATTATAACATACTCTACTGTATCTATGAGATCGCAAAAGACAAGTAAGAGAAGACGGCTGCCTTCCACTTGGGCAAAATCTTGAAAGAGTGGGTAGATTGAGTGCTTTTGAATGCTAGGATGAATTTGTTTTAAAATAAGTTGTCAGAATGACATATTTTAGAATGTTTTATGCATATATGGATATGTATGAATGCACGTATTTACTTATAATAAAGACTGATACCCTGTTATAAAACACTCAGAAGATTAATTCCCAGCATTTAATACCCAAAGTACTCTATGCCTGTATAGATCATTTGTTAATCTATTGCTACTCCAACCATTTCCACACATTTTCACCTTAACCTCTCTGAATGTCTTTTTTTTTTTCATTCACACAATGAAAAAGTTGAAGTGGGTGGATTCTAAGCGCCTTCAAACTTTAAACTTAGATTGTTTGAGAATATTCTTGTGCTTGAGGTATTCTGTTGTCTCCCATGGTCAGACTGTGGGCACAGCTTAGTTCTGTTTACTACTTGATATGTTTCAATATAACCTCACCTTTTTGCCAGTGTACTTAAAAAAACTCTTAGAGACAAAGTACTTCCATAGTACGTGGTTGTATGTCTTCTTTTTTGGACATGTAAATATGTGTGGGTGTTTACCATTCTTTATTCCCCAATAACTTTTGAAAAAGTGGTGTCTTTATTGGATAAGCCTTGGACGTTCAACCCTTTTTGCAAATAGTCTACTTATTTCAGCACAAGGAATATAAATGTTGTTTGCTTTGTTAGTCATATAAGAAGCACTGTCTTGTCCAAAACAGATTGTAGAATCAGAATATTTGCTAGCCACACCCCACCCAATTGTGTATTTAAAATTATTTTTATTCTGGGTGTTTACTTGGAGCAGTTTGAAGTGACAAGTCTGTGGCTTTAGGATAAAACCCATTCCACTTAAAACAGAGAGCCATGCCCTTTAAACCCAGTAACCTGCGCGATTTTTATTTATATCAAATATGAATGGTATTTTCTGCATATCTAGCAATTAGCTGTCACTAAGTTTCCCCTTTCGTTTTCACTATTCTGGATCATCATTAATTCACCAAATATTTTGTGAGTACCTCTGCTGTGTCAAGCACCGCGATAACTGCTGGGTGAGTAACACACAGCCCCACCTTAAAGTGTTTGTCCCGTGATTGCCCCCTTCTCGCCACGGTAGTGGTCCTGATGTATGTAACATGCTCCTCAGTGTTTGGGAGTTCATAAAGATAGTGGTGGCTCAAGGACTATATTATGAAAAAAGTCCTCAGGTGATCATGATGAATTCTTAAGTTTAACGTCAGTGTTCTAGTACCAGCTTGTTAATATCAGTGATATAATTTTTTTAAAAAAAACTTTTTATTCTGCTTTGGGTAAAAGTTTACAGAGGAATTGGTTCTCCATTCAATGTTTAATGCATGGTTTGTTTCTTGACTTTGTCAGTTGCAGCATTCTTCCCACTTCCTCCCTGTGTTTGCCATTTCCATTTGCTCTTCTTTCCTTTACCTTTCTTCCTTTGACCTTTATTCCTGGGCAAATGCAGCCCTTTTGATCTTGTTGGATTCATTGTTCTAAGGGGAGTGAACCTCCCTGGTGTTACTGTTCACTTTATAGGCCTGTCTATTTTTTGGTTGAAATTTGAACCATGAGGATGAGTTTGGCTCCAGGCCTCAAGAGTATCTAAGAGCCATA